TCTGTTCATCTTATCACTGCAGGTCACATAAGGACTATCAACGCTCGTACCGAGTTTGTTCTCCATCCGATCTCGCTCTGGAAAACGTTGCGACAAGCCCGATCAATAGAATTCGTGAACGCGTCGTCGCTCAGCCCGTCTTCGGCGCTAAAGAACAAACTGATGAACTTCGGGCATTGAACTGTCCCTATCATCACGGCAAATGGATTGCAAGGATAGTTCGTTTGTAGAATCGTCATAAATGTATATTCATCCAATCCGTTCCATGGCCTTTTAATTCTTGGTGCAATGATATCGAAATTCTGGACCAATTCTTTNTACTGATAGCATGGGTAAATGGTAATAATTGACCCAGAGAACAGTATATCCCTCCTAAGAGACCACCAGGTTTTCTAATCCAAGCCAGAGGAAGTCCGAAAAGTGAAGACTTTATTCAGCAAGGATGTAGCGCCAACTTGGGTGTGTTGTAATGACGTGGTTTTGACATAACCAAGAGCTATGAGCATAGCTGATCATCCTGCTGGAATCCATGCTCGAAAAGATCAAAGGAGAAAGTACCCCTAGGAACCAAAGTCCGATATCACACATACAAGACGCATATTCGAAAAAGACGGACAAAGATGGCGATAACCCTTGAGCATTGTATACCGTAAATCTGTTGTTACCACAAATATTACTCACATAGAGGCTCTCGTCCAGTACGCGTGCAAATAGTACAGTGCAATACCACCAATAGACGCCTGAGAGCGAAAAGCAGAGTTCGTCAGTTTTGATTTTAGTGAAACTGTAGACAAATAACCACTAATCCGAAAGACTGGTTTGACATCGGCTTTCAGGAAAAACTAACACTTAAAAGATCGGCATTAAATATCAAGACCAAAGTGCTCGTAAATATGTACGGGCATTGCAAAAAAAGCTACAACGGAACCCAGAAACATTGCAGGTTAGATATGTAGGCTTGGCGAAGAGGACTACGACGACGATAGGCATGATATCTCGTAAGAGAAAGGAAAGTAACCTAGAACCGTTGATGATTAAAAAACNAAAACCTTCATAATTACAATACTTATGGCTTAACCGGATGGGAAGGCTGAATTTCAGTCCACCGTGATTACGACTGATCGGGCGTATTACCTAGTATAAATTACGCAATCTGAAGCTGTCTATACAGCTCAGCGGCACTAGACAAGCGCAAACTAAATAAATTTCAAAATTGGAAAAATATCCCGACTGCTTTAACGGTAAAAACTTTCTCGGACCACATCAGAAAATACATAATCAGCCCTCAAACTGCACCAAACAAAATCATCTGACCACACATAAACGAAGATAACTTAGCGAACTGATCAAATACAACTGCCTGATTTGTACCGAAGTGTGGAAACTATTGGTTGAATTCGTATCGCGTTTGCATACTACATGTAATGAGGGAGGTTCACCTTAGTGAACCCGTGTTTGTTTAAACGCATAGATTGTGCCATGTGGTTACTGCGGAACGAGTAACCATCCCAAACCCTATTAATAGATCGAACGTATCGACTGCCAAGTGTTAGATACCTTAATGGTTTGCGACGCGGATAGTGAGTAACACGTCCCTGCAGGAAAAAAGCGCTGGTAGGCTACGGCTAGCCCATGATGATGACAATTTGTCACTTAAGTGATCATATTAACATGGTCAAGTTTACATTTAAACTTGGTTTCCTAAGCGGCAGGATGGTGACGCAGGACCAGAAAACATGCCTATACCTGATTAGCGTTTGTTTGGTTGATTAAAGCCAATGGATTTACAACCAAAATAGGATTCGGGGGGTTGGGCATCACAGCAACATCAATCCGCAGGTTGACAGTTGCCGGGGTCTTCAGTTTGTCCGAAAGTTCAATCACGTTACTGAAAAAACCGAATGTGAAAACCAAATCGTAGGTTAACATCGAGAGCTTTATAAGCAATTAGAATTTTTCGCTCGGTGGGCAAATTTAGCGCAGTCTTATCCATGGACAAAAGGGAATAGTGCTTTGGCCTTCTAAGCAAAACGGGTTGCGTGGGTTTTATTGCTTTCCAGTTAGACTGCTCGTTGATATAATTCGTGATCTTCACTACATACACTATTAAATAATTATAAGTTTTGGTGTAATCACCTATTCAATTAGGAACTTTATGGCAAATTCTTCCGTTGAACGTGGGTGAATGAATCTTACCCGGAAAACACCCGATAGGTTGTTACACTTCATAGGGATCCGAAAAATACTGCCAAATCCAAGAAGTCACTAGTCGCATTGGAAACATTAAGGAAACTGATAGCATCTACCATTTCGCTCATGATTGTCCTGATTTCGACCAAAACGTCACATTTGCCAAGATTCATACACAACTTGAAGGGTATCCGAATTCCAGAGCAAATTTTCAAGAAAACTTGTGCAAATTATTGTATCTTCTCATTCTTCAAAAAGCAGTTGAGAGAAACAATTCCAAGTTGTAGCGGGTAGAACTGAACGACAGTCACCCCCAGGTAAATTTTTTATTACGTTGTTTAGGTAAATAAATGTTACATAAAAACGTTTCCCGTGAAATATACAATACGAAAATGTAAAATGTGCATGTGTTAACATCTACTCTAATCTCCTTAATTTCTTTGTATGGTCGATCATTTATGTGCGTTAATTATGTCTCACCCTTCTTGGATGCGGTCATTTTTATCCCAAATTGAATGAGGCTCCTGTGTTGAGTATCTACAAGATCGAAACATGTTACCCAAAAATCGTGACTGTGTTTGCGGTCATCTCTATGAATATCCAGGAAAATAGTAAGGCCCTGGACGGATTTGTGTTTCGCTCCTGTAGGTGTAAGAAAACCATTTCTCTTCGAAAAGGAACATTTTTGAAAATTCGAAGATATCATTGTGCCTGCCAGTCGAGTTAATAGCATATTTTGTGCTGGAAATTCTCGTCGTGCTTGCCAGTAGCATGTGTCGTTTGTCCCAAAAGTCAACGATACATTGGTACGTGTTCTGCCGTGAAATATGTTCCCACAAACTGCTTTCACTCAACCACTTGCTCGGTGGTCCGTCCAAGATCGTCGAAATTGACGAAACTGTTATGAACAAATGCAAATATGGACGCGGAAGACCATCCGAAACTGTTTGGGTTTTCGGTATGTATGATCATTTCGAAGGGAAGGGATACTTCGAAAAGGTGGAAAACCGATCGGCAAGCTCCCTTCTGCCGATAATCCAACGATGGATGATGGTGGGATCCATCATTTACTCCCATGAGTGGGCCGCCTATAGAACACTGTCGTCCTTGAGATACACTCACTTAACGGTGAACCACTCCCGAGGATTCATCAACCGAGCGACAGGTGTCCACACGATGGATGGCTATTGGAGTAGAATAAAGAGAAGAATGAAAGCAGTTTCCGGCTCCATTGATGACCGGCGGTGGGAACACTTGGATAAAGTTCAGTACCGCTACTGGTTTCATTTCTCTCCCTCAAACATTGAAATGGATATAGAAACTTTTCTTCAACACATCAGTGAGCGCTATCCAACTGACTAGGGTCCATATTTATACTTTTGATATATGTTTTTACTCAAATACATTTTTTATAATCAATTTCCCGCATTCTGTTATATAATTGGTATGTCAGCTCGATCATGTTACTTATCAGTAGTCATTATATTATTACGATTTTTCCCTGGGGCGGTGACTGTCGTTCATTTCTACCTTGCAGTGTGCCATTGATCTCTTCAGTGTTTACCGATAACCCAGTGTTCGGATTCCTTGCTGATCATAGCTCAGGAATTAGTAAAACATTTTCCGCCTAAATCAATATATCCGGGTTTCTTACTCAATA